TTCCTCTCGCTCCTACCTACGTTTTCCTCCATACCGTTCAATGAATAGAACCAGGCATCTATGAAATTTTTTCTCAGACAGGTTCTAACAGCGTTCCTACGTTAACCGGTCGTCCTCCTCATAAATAAACATAATGATCGAACGATCGTCCGTCGATCGTCGAGACCAGCGTTTGTATTGTACAAAAATTGTACACGTGTGAATGAATCGAATATAACAATGATAATAATGATAATGATCATATATCTCATTATAGATCACGTAGAAAAAAGTTCGAGATCACTGGAAAAAAACAATTGAAAAAGTAGAATAATAAAGAAAGAAAATAATAAGGAAAAGGAAAATAATAAAGGAAATTTAATATAATAATAATAGTAGTTATAACAATCGCGTTTGTTATTACAAGCAATATAAGAAGCACTGAAAAGAATAAAAGCCAAAAGAAAAGTGGAGATAGAGTTACATATACAGGAAAGAAGAATGATGAAAAATGAATGAGGAACTCAGAGAAAAAGGGGAAAGTACTTATATTGCAGGGGTGTAAGAAGGTTGATTGTCAGCATAATAGCTGCTTTTAAGCTTGATCTATTGTAAGCCCACGCCTATTCTTAACGCAGAAACGTGTACTAAAATCCGTGGTCTACTTATGACGGTTCGAATAATCGTAATATAATCCTACATTTACGCAGAACTTCTGAAAAGAATATTAAATGCATTACTAAATAATTTATCATCAGCTTCTCGAATGAATAAACCAAAGAAAGAACAATAAATTGTTCTTTTCATTACGCTTTTTAAAAAGTAATTTTAAGGAAAGAGAAATAGAACGAGTGATCTAGTTAATAATTATTTCCCCTTGTCGCGCGATGAGAATAATATCAAGCAGAACCAACTTTAAATACACAGCCATCGATGCAGAACCCCGGATTTGTATGCAAATCTTCAATTTTAAACCCCAATTCGTAACAAAGAAAATTAGACATAATTTAATTTCTCGCGTTAGGGGTTGCGTCGCGCGCATACCACATACGTATACAGTGTTGAACTTCATCTCGCTGGATTCTGCGAGTTAGGAAGTGCAGCGAGTGTATGAATAATCCGCATTCCAGTTATTATGTCCTGTATCCTACGTGCATCCGAAACGTCGCGTGGAATCACGTGAATCGCAGAAAACGTGACTCGGTGCGCGACGTCAACATCAATCATAAACATCCGCTCGATTATATACCTAGTAGTACACGATCGCCGATTACGCTGCACGTTGCCGTATAACGCCGCGTTCAGATATGCTACCGCGACCTTTGGCGGTAGGTCATGGTGCACGAGTGTCAACGACGTTTCCACGTTTCACCCTTTGTCGTCGTATTTCTACTCCCGAATAAAGCTGCTTTACCTTTCTGGTTTTATGAAACCTGATATTTGTGCAAAATAAAATTCTGTTACTATACTTTCGTCTAAAGTTTCGGGAAAAGTACTAAACTCAATTTATTATATATAACCGCGCATTATTATATATACTGTTACTACTGTCCATTCTGTGGAAATTAATTTTCGGCGCACAAAATTAATATAACGGCAAATGATTATCGTAATCATTGTCAAATTGTCTAGCTGGGTGCATGATTACAAAATCTTTTTAATTAAACACTAACTGCTTGGTATTGTAAATTAACATGTTAAAAAGTACGAGACTGATAAGTCACGTTAGCAATGAATAGTTTGGTTCGCATCGTGAAACTTGATGATAATGATTACACTGCAAATTTTTATGCAAAATCAGATTTGAATTCCAACTCACTGAAATTCAAACTTGGATTGCGGATTTTTATGCATTTATAGGACATTTGTAAGTGGAACTTTGCATAGAATGCCTATATCTAATAAGAAAAAAAAATATACAGTTTAAATTTAAGTTTGAATTTAACAATTCATAACGATTCTTCTTCAGCAGCTTTCAGTAGGCCCGCTATAAACGCTTCAAAGAAAAATAGTTCACCGTCTCTGTAATCGACACACAGCTCTCTTACCTTTCATCGCAACTCCGCTATAAACGTACCCTAAGTAACAAATCATAGTAGTAGAGCGAGGTGCGGTAGTAAGTCTGGATGCGGCCTAACAGTGTCATCAGTAATCGCCGGCGCGCGGCTGTGGTCCTTGATTACAGATCGGTTAGGTATATACTGTTAGGTGTGTATGCACTCGCGGATCCGTGGCGTTTGGCGCCGGTGCCTGGCGCTCGTTGAACCCGCACGCGTCTCCGCGCGTCCATTCTACGCTGCGCGCGAATTGCAACCGGCATCTAGATAATGCATATGCAAGCTGAGAGCCTACTCGAATTTCATAGGAAAACGTTCACGAAGAACGTGAGTACACGGTAAACACTGCGTCAACGTCGGGTATTGATTTTACTCAATTAACCTATGTGTCACCTTATTAGCGGTGTGCGGCTACACCGAAACAATCGTCCGAACGAATTAGTGTTCGGAGTTAGCGAGATTTGATCTTGCGATTGTTGGAAAAAACGATGAAGTGGTAAATGTCGTTGATTCGCGGTGGAATCTTCGTTGTGTGAATTGCGAATAAAAATCTTTTCGCTGTGAAAATTGCGACGAAGAAAAAAAGACAAGAAATTCTTTTGGTGTAGAAGTTAGAAATAGGCATTGACGTAAGCTCCTAGTTGAGAAGTAGAGGGCATAAACTCATTATCTTTGTAATATGATAATTTTATTATAAAATAACATTTTTATTATTTTTCAAGGATTATACAGTTGTATTTCAATTCATTCAATTATTGTCTACATAAGTATTTATAAATTTCAATAATGAAACAGCCTTGTAACTACTTTTAAACTATTACAATATGTAGTTTCAAAAAATCGGAGACTTCAAAAGTTTTTCATTGAAAAATACTAAATATATTATAAACTGATATAAAAATCTCTCAAAATCCACCATTATAAATCAAAGCAATGATTGTGGGAAAGTATTAAGCGGACAGAATGATAGCTTTAAACGTATCTATCAAGAAGAACGAATTCAAAGTGGTCGATGCGCCGTTCCATGTTCAGACGCGTCGTCGTAGTGTCCTTCTACTTGACACTATCATGGCCGCTGTCTTTCATTGGTCCCGGGGTCGCTGTTTTTTCGACGCTGGCAATTCCAAGGAAACTGTCCGCGCACAATTGGCCGCTTTGTATCTGTCCACTTCGTCATTTTTTGCGGTTGACGGTCGGATGCAACGCGTTCCACAGGACACCGTGTATGTTGGCTCTCTCGTGTTTGTTGGACCACGTCGCCGATACTGTGTCCTTCCTTCCCTTAGCCGCTACGCGGGAATCCGGCTGGCTACGAGACATCCGTAGCAATGGTGGCCCTTGGACGGGAAGCCCTTCAAATTTTGACACCGGAGGATTGGTGCTTGTTACCGGAGATCCGCTCGTGTTCAACCGGGAAAGCGTTGGCTTCCCTAGGGATAAAGGGATTTAAGCTGCCATGGTGAAACGTTACTTAAAACACAAAACAGAAGCTTTTCTCTTCTATTAGTTTACAATTTTTTTCTATTAGACGTGCGTAGAATATCTCTTTTTCAAAGTCTAGTACAATGTTTCTATGATGTTTCTATTTCTTTAATATTGAATATTGTACGTGCTTTCTATTCTATCGTTGTGTTCTTTTGCTAGGAGCCCGCGTCATCGAGTTATTAATTTCAAAAGGAAATTTAAGATGAATTCTTTAAGAGCTCTTGAAACTTTAAGACTCGTTAAGAGGCCTTGCCCTTTTATTTCACGTAAAATTGAAAATCCGATAAGCGGGCTGCGGAACTTTGCAGACTCGCAAGGAACAAGAATTTTTAAAGAATTTTAAACTGTCAGATTTCATGCAACCTACCGCGGTTTCGTCTTATTTCGAATTTACCGAGGTTGTTGGAGAAATTAAGAATTATATTTTGCAGATTCCACTGATGATTGCCTCGCGTTACGGTGGAGAATAATAAAGAACGGATTGTGTAAAACCGAACTTCAACGCTTTCATTGTGAGCTTGAGAAAAAATACTCATAAATATTTACCATATTTTAATTACTGTTAAAGCTTCAGTGTTTATTGAGTCGTTTACCTTCGAGGCTGCGGAACGCATTAGACTTCAATCCTTCGGTTGTTTGCCGGATAAAATTGAAATTATCGAAACAATAATCATTAAGATTAATCCCGTCAAGGTTATTTACTCACGTATTTGACTTCAATTTAACTTAATGGAATTTAATTTAATTTAATTCCGCAATCATTCTCCTCCTTTATTTCCTTAAATTAAAAAAAGTAAAATCTATCTAAACACAATTAACTCTTTAGACAACATTTTTTCAAACCGAAAAGAAAGCCCACGTAAATCAAGGAACAAAGCTATCTCCTCCCAACATAGCACATATCGATGCACTACACAAACCTCAACATCAACTATCAAACTTTATAATTTTCCATCGAATCAATGGCTGCCCGAGAATCGTCTTTCAACAGCAAATGTTTAAAAACTCCCCGTCAACTACAAACAATAAATCAATTCCACTCAAAGCAATCACAAAAAACGTGTTTGGAAACAACCATTGACAAAGTTTCTAATTATTCCAGAACGCACGGTATTTCCATTCGAACTCTCTGACCCGGAGTCCCGAGTCGACCGGGTTAAAAATATACCCATCGAATAATGCCCATTCCCGGTCAAGCGTGCTCAGTCCACGTGCTGCATAAATAAACAAACAAACAAACAAACCGAAACAGAAAAGAGAAAGAAAGGCAAAAAGGAAAAAGAGGAAAAGAAAGGAAGACAAGTTTACTCGCTCGTACGCGCGATCGGGTCACAAGAGGGGGCGTAGAACTCGCGGAACAAACCGTGGCCGCCGGGGGACCGTAACGTAGAGGAAGATGGCGGAAAGGGGCGACGGAGCGTCCGCTCGTGGAACGCTGCGGTGCAAGTGAGAGGGAGAAAGGGAACGAGTGGCTCGCGAGGAAAAGCTTTCGTATATATGTACTCCCGGACGACGACGGTGCGTGCTCGCTCGGTCTCCAGGGTTCGCGGCGTGTGGAGCGGCGCGCGGAGGAACAGCTCCAGTAGTAGCCGAGCAGCCGCGTCGAGACGAGACGTGAATGCAGCGGCGGCGTCCTTCCCTCGACTCTTCTCTCAGTTCGCCGCCGTTGCTCCGTCCGCGGACTTGATTTCACACGAACACCTACGGGACCGCAAAAGAAACCAAGAGAACGCGCTCGGGAAGAAAAATAAAAAGGAAAGTACACGAAACCCGAGGTCACCGGTCTAGCATCTTTGGAGCACTGAAGAATGTCGACGAATCTCAGAGATTTGATAAACATTGCTTGCTAGTCTTCGTTGAAAAGAGGATTTCGGAAAGAAAGATCTTTTTTTAGATTGGAATTTTTGGTTGGTAGAGGTTTGAATTCGTTTGACGTAAGGCCCGAAGGATAACAGTAAGGACTCTAGCTGAAGGTGAAAGTAGAGTGGCGCACGGGCCGCGCAGTGGTTCCTCGGCTCGATGACGAGAAACACGTGCCAGCAGCGATCGGCGTGAACGGTTTCGATACAAGAGGAACAATCGATCTGTGAGGATGAGAGGATCGGTGATAGTCGTTGTTTGCTGCGCTGCCCTGATGGTCCTGGCGGCCGAGACAGCGGAGCACCAGAGGCTCAACGCCAGGATGGAATGCCCCCACAAGTGCATGTGCTTCGTGAACACGGTGCGGTGCATGTTTCAGAAGCTGAACCGGGTACCACGGGTACCGACCAACACGACAGTGCTGTAAGTGCCAGGGACGATTCTATTCTCTTTCGTCTTGGTTGTTCTTGTTGTTTCTTGATAGAGATGGGGACGAATTCAATATGCAGTTGTGGGTATTTGAGTCAAGTTCAATATGTGAGATTTATTCTGTGTTTTAAATATTACTTGAATGTAAAGATGTCTGAAACGCATTCCAATTAGAAATTAGTAATTAATGTTTAAGTCAAGTTCAATATATGAGACGCATTTTGTGATTTGTATACTATTTGAATGCACAAATGTTTCAGTAAGTGCATTGCAACTGGAAATGAAAACGAGTTCGATAAGTAGTAATGAATATTTAAGTCAAGTTCAATATCTAAGACTCATTTTGTGTTTTGAGTACTATTTGAATGCACAAATGTTTCAGTGAGTAGATTTGTAATCTATTCATTTCGTATAAACTAGTTTTACACGCTATTCCAAAGCAAACGCGTTTTACTAACTATACCTGTAATGTATTTATTTTGCAAAACTTGAGTAATTTGATGTTGGGAAAGTTGGAAGCTTTTGTAAATGGTACTCGTATTGCACTTCATAAAATGATTACAATTATTTTATTGATTATGCTGGTAACTGTTTAGGACAATATTTCATAATATGTTATATTATATTTATTATAATATTTATATTAATATTTCGTAATGTTTTATTTTAATAAAGCAAAGTACTCATAAAACTTTCGAACATATTTGAGTGTACACGAAAATGTTTTTTTCCTGAAAGTACTTATGATACACTTAGAACTATCGCGTTTAGGTTCAAGTATACTTGGGAATATTTCTGTCTGCGTTTCTATTCGTGTATGTTTTCTGAACGATTTATAGAGGATTTGAGATCAACGACTAAAGATCCTACTTGCAAGGTACTCCATCCCATCCCTACTCTTTGATCCCCAAGTGATCTCGCTGCTTAGAATAATTTACGATAGAACGTAATTTGTTGGTATTAACGCTCTGACTGTCGTATCACTCGAATTCAGGTGCCATCATTCTTAACTCAGATTTTGAGAATTAATTTCCATGAAGAAGTCTATCTAATGAACTAAATTTCGTTGAGTCTATAATATGTAAGAAGATTAAGAGAACAATTGCTATAAAAAATCAAAATCCTTTAGTTCCTGCTTTATTAAGAAAATTACTTCAATTTTATGGAATTTTTATAAGCGCTGACTTGTTAGTTGATATCTTGACGCGTCAAGCGCTGTCGTATAGACAAAATATGTTCTGACAAATTGTTACCGAATTTTGTCACTATTTTAAAGTTATTTTAAACTATTAATTTATTTCATTTCAAATGTCGCGTCTTCAGTAACTGCCCACTTTGTCTATAACCAATAGAATTGATTTGTATTAAAGCAAATATATTTAGTCGAATTTTATCAAATATATCGTTTCATGTCATGGAATGGTTCAACAATTTATTTATTTTTTCAACGTTTTATAGACTTTAAAATTGATTTTATTTTCTACAATTTATTTCTAACTTTGTTAATTTATTCAGCACAACCGTATATATAGTTAATTCTATTTATTCATGTCTATTCTAGTCATGAAAGATCTACATACAATTACATTTAAAAAAAGACTATCAATTTTTGACATTTTATAAAAATTGTTCACTGTTTAGTGAAAATAAGCCAAATTAAAAAAAATAAAATTTCGACCAGTCACACGATTCATCGAATAGTACTCTTTGTCTGCCTTCTTGATTGCTGTATCTACTTTAAGTGCACCTATATGTATAGCTTTAAGGTCAGTTTATTTGGGAATCGGTTAATCGAATTTCTTTCGCTGACTAGAAGATTCCTTACTAAATTTCTCTTTAAGAGTAGAACTACCGAGTAACTAATATGATTAATATGCTCTTATACAACCTTTATAAGACCTCAATTTTTAAATTTCTGCTGATATTCGAACCATTACACAAGTAAAACTATTTTACAAATAATTTCATATATTTAACGCTTTGATTTCATTAATTCTCAAATAAAGAAAATTGAAACCAATCATTTTGACTAGTCCGATAGTTTACCGTTAACAGTGTTAAATTTTAACCTGTTTCGCTAGAAATTAATTTACAAATTTGTCAAAGATTTGCACAAAGAATTTTAATTTTACCTATTTCACGTAGATATGTACACTAATTTTATTTACTAATAATTTTCTGTAAAATGATACATTTCAAAACAATCTAGCACGTGTTATGCAACACGACTATCAATGTATATAAGACGTCATCAACAATTTTGGAACAAGAACATCTCGACATGCGTGGTACGTCTTTCCAGGGCAAGAGGTTAACCCTAACCGGTTTTACATTTGATTTAAAATTCTACGTTCTCTTTCGTAACTTTATATTAATTTCTATATTGTCTGATTAATCAGATTTTTAATTTTTGTCTTCTTTTTTATTTTATTCACAAAGAAACATTTGTCATCGAATTTGTTTACCTTTATTTTACAGGTATAGTTATTTAACTGGTTATTGTAGGAACAGTTACATACAAACTGCCGATGCAATTAGTGTTAATCCTCTATAGACCTGTGTGACTTTGAAGTCTCTAAATGTTGTTGATTGATTTCATTCTGCATAGCATAGTGGTGAATACAATAAAGTAATCAGTTCATTGAAACTTTTATGCGCTCAGACATGAAAGTTGAACATCATATAATTTCAAAATTACAAGGTATTATTCGTTTTAATACAATTATTAAGACTATCGAATACATTGTTCACTTGTCTTTACAGGTTTATATTTTTTAATTTATATTTACACGTTGATATTTCTTAATTTCATACTACACACATTTGTTTACAGTCAAGAAAAGAATTCGGCTTATAGAGGGTTAAACTTCCCTAAAAAGTTCCAGAAGGCTTTTCGTCCGATATAACACGTTCCAATGCGGATGGGTCTTCCCGGCAGCCTTAAAGAAATTGGGACCGGTGTAATCAGAAAATTTACGGTGCGGGTCGTGGGTCGCGGGTATTTCCAGTGCGGAATGCACGTGGGAAGTGTGGAATTGAATCGGCGGCGCACCGTTGTCCAGTAGATGCGGGGGACACACCAACGCCGCTGCTTTCTTTCCCGCGGTTTACCGTGATCGAGTCGATTTTTCTTTCAGTTTTAGAAACGGCAGCGGCGCAGTGTGCTGCTGCGAAAATCTACGGTCGGATCGAATCGAATGGCGGTCCCTCTACCCTTTCCCCTTTATTGCCCGGGTGAAATTGAAGAAGATGCGAGGCAAACGCGCACCTTTCTCCCCGAAATATATTATTCTGCATTAAGATCGCGATTCCCGAGAAAGACCGCGATGAATCGGATCAATTTTTCTTCGCGCGCGTCTATGACGAAATAGAAACACCGCAACAACGACGATTGCATGGTAAAGGCTATTTTCAACCCCGCGAAGCACGAATACATCTATAACGCAGTGTTTGTGCCTCGTGAAAGCAAATCACTTGCCTTCGTTTATTCGTGTTTCCTCGGCATCGGAATTTTTACGCGCGGTACATTTGTGATGTTAATGAGTGGAATTTGCAATTGCTAATTTATACGAGAGATGAACATTCTTTAGACGATTGGTAACGTGGGATATAGTTCTGCATTGCTGAGTCCTTGCGAATGTTATCCTTGTTATGGAATGTTTCTATATAAGTATCATTGTATTTATATTATGTCATATTTGATAAGAATAATAACAATAGTAATAATAATTGCTTAAAAACTTAATTTCGAATGTTTATATTTTAGTGCATTTTCTATCGTTGCTAAGTCCTTGCGATATTGTTATTCTTGTTATGGAATATTTATCTATAGATATTATAGTATTCATATTATGTCAGCACCATATTTGATAATAATAATAACAACAGCAATAATCATTGTCTAAAGACTCAATTTCGAATGTTTATATTTAACTGCATTTTCTATTGTGTTAAAGCCTTTTACTCTTCATTAATAACAGCAATACATAATTTTGAAGTTTACATTTTTCTTTGTTGCGAGCTAACTCCCTCAATCCCTAAGATAAACAGCGACAAAACAGATCCCTCTGTCTGACAACGTTATAAAAACACAGAGCGCCGTTGAAACACGAATTTCCAACTCAACTGTTAATCCCGTCATCTCCTCGGCAGTCCATAAAAAACGCGAAATCAGCGTAATCGCGTGCCATAAAATAACAATAACATCAAGTACGAACACGATCCTTGAGAATAACGCGAAATGCTCTCATTCGATGGGTAAGAGGCCGCGGCGTGAATCAACGGAGTTCGCGTAGATTCTTAATCCGACAAAATTTCCAACGACGCTGCCGAACCGGTGGGCAAGAACAGAGGAAAGACGAAAAACAGGGAAAAAGAACGGGAAAGAAGAGAGAATCAAGTCGAGGAATCGGGTTACGTTCTCTTAAAGTGCACCACCTAATGGCCTTGTGCTCTTTGTGTACACTGGTTAAATAGTCTACAACTTCACATTATGATCTGTTGAACCGTGTCCTCTCGCGCGCTTCGCCGAGCAATGTTCCAACGGTTCGTTTTCACCAGCGATCAACGAAATCCGCTTCGAATTTCCTCTACGTTTGGTTTTCTTCAGAACTCCGAGAAACGGGAGAAACTGAGGACGTCAACTTTACGCGAAAACTCTCATAAATAGGCTTCATTTATTCAAACTGGAAGAACTTTTGTATTTTTCTTGTACGTACGTTGAGTACGCTAATAAAACTTTGTTTTTTAACAGTAGAACACGGCTTTTTAACGGTGCATTTATTCGAGTTGATATGTAATCCTTATAAAGGTTATAACAATACATTTTTTTCACGGTAGTTCTAGCGTTAAACTAGATGGGTATTTGAAAGTGCAATATTGCACAGAATGCACAGGACATGAAAGAAATAAAAAAACGTGCAAAGTATAGTACTTTTTGTAATATTCGTTCAGAAAAATCATTTTCTAACGTAATTTTATATTCCTAATTTTAC